AGAAGCAGACTCTCCGCTGAGCAGGGAGCCCGATGCGGGACTCGATCCCGGGACTCCAGGATCATGACCTGAGCCGAAGGCAGTCGCTCAACCAACTGAGTCACCCAGGCGCCCAAGGTATTAATTTTAAAGAAGAGGTAGACAAAGGCAGGATTCCAGCATCTCAGATTTACCATTGATATTTCAACTACCAATACGGACTGTTCCATTTCCCAGGCAATGTACTCAGAGTTCTAAGTCTCCTGGATCCGTACTTTTACATATGCTATTCTACTAACCAGGATGTCTTTCTTTACCCTACTGCCCATTTCACTTATATCCCAGATAAATATCTTGAGTGTTCTTCAAGAAGTCCACATCCAATAGTACCTTCATCAAGACTTCCCTGTGTCCTCAGTTTAATATAGCCTGTCCTAAATGCTCACAATGTCTTATGTGGATTTCTGATATGGACTTAGAGTCTGTCTTCAATTACTGTTCATTGCACATTTGTCTTTTGTCTTTACTGTATTATAAACTTCTTGCTGACAAGGCTTATGGTTTTATACCATCTTTATATTTTCTGCACTGCTTTTTCTATAGAGTAGGAATTCTGATATTTATTGAATTTCAGTGAATTAAAGTGTGCCATCATTACAAGGAAAAAACAACAAAAAATCATGTGATCATCTTGATAAATGCAGAGAAAGCACTTGTAAAATTCAACACCCATTCCTGATAAAACCTCCAGCAAACTAAGAATAGGAGGGCTCTTCCTTAATCAGATAAAGAGCATTTACCAAAAGCCTACAACAAACGCCACTTAATGGTAGAATATTGAAAGATTTCCTTCTGAGATGAGGGTTTCCCTGACATGTGGATATTGCCCGGTGCTCAGGAACACCCCTGAGATACTCCCAACTCACTGATACTCTAGAACACAATGCACCAGTCTGTTTACTTGGAAAACCAGGGAGATCCCAGAAAGAGAGTGTCAACAGAGGAGGAGAGTTAAGGAAAATGAAGTCAATGGGCATGTAGCTTCTGAGGAGCCGTCTTCACAGAAGGAAAGCATGAGTGGTGTATACAGGAGCATTCCTGCTCCTCAACTTCTTTTCCTGGATCCAGCACAACTACAGCTTATTTCCTGTTCCATTCCTCTTGCTTCTGCTGACTGTCCATCTCCCTACTCCTCCTGCTCTTAAGTTTCCTGATCATAGCTTTGTCTCTCCATTTTGGCATTAAGCTCCTTGATAGCCTTTGATGATGTCCTTCCTGATGTCACCCAGTCTCAGGAATCTTCTTGAGGAAGTAATAGAAATATGCCAGAGATACTGACATGTTTTTAAAACCATCAACTCCTGGAACGTAAGGAGACTGAACTATATTCTCCTTACACAGGAGACGTTATGTTTTTAAACATGTGGATAAGCACATGCACAAACACCCATAAATGAAAACAGAATAAAACAGAAATATTATTTCTTTATTAGGGAAGGAAAACAAAACGAAAATTGAAACACTTTATAAGTGAAAAACAAAACATGTTTTGTATGTCCAGGACTGCATTCCACTGTGGCAGCTTTGTCCAGGCCACCTTCAGTATCGTCTCCAGAACCTTCAGCTCTGACTTCCAGAAAGAGGTGTTCATCAAGTTTCTCTATAAAAAATTCACCACCTTGTAAAAACCCAACACTAGAGTCTCTGTGCAGCTGACACAGGATCTGATGGTAGCTACCACACAGTGTTACTACACGAGAAAATCAAGTGAAGGGGCGCCTGGGTGGCTCAGTCGGTTAAGCGACTGCCTTCGGCTCAGGTCATGATCCTGGAGTCCCGGGATCGAGTCCCGCATCGGGCTCCCTGCTCAGCGGGGAGTCTGCTTCTCCCTCTGCCCCTCCCCCCGACTCATGCTCTCTCTCTCTGTCTCTCTCAAAAATAAAATAAATTAAATCTTAAAAAATATATACAACTAATGAATTGTTGAACACTACATCAAAAACTAATGATGTACTATAATAAATAAGTAAATACAAAAATATAGAAAATGATTTATTATGAGAGATTGGCTCGTGGGTTGGGGGAGGCTAAGAAATCCCACAGTCTGCTGTCTACAAGCTAGAGGTTCAGGAAGGCTGGTCATGTAGTCCCAGTCTAAACTCTGAAGGTCTGTGAACTAGGGGAGTCAGTGTGGTATGAGTCCCAGTCCAAGTCTGAAGGCCAAAGAACCAGTTGCTGATGTCCAAGGGCAGGAGAAGATGAATGTCTCAGCTCAAGCAGAGAGCAAATTTGCTCTTCTTCCATCTTTGGGCTCTATTCAGGCTCTCAATGGATTGGATAATGCCCACCCAAATCGGTGAGGGTGATTTTCTTTACTCAGTCTATCTATTCCAAGGCCAATCTGTTCTGGTAACACCCTCACAGGCACAGACTGAAATAAATGTGTACCAGCTCTTTGGGCATCACTTACCCCGATCAAGCTGACACGTAATATTAACCCTCACACTTAGGAAGCAAATCACGAAAATAGAATTTACTCCTTAGGAAATAGAGCAGGACAATTATATTTAGTCTCATTGGGACCTTGTTTCATCTTGTTTAATAAGCTGGTTAAAGCTCTTTGTTTAGACTCATTTACCTTATCAACTCATAATGAGGTCTTTCACAGCTCATCATTTGTGTAAATAAAGCTATCCATCCAGGGAAAAAATTCCTTCATGTACAGGATTTTTGTTTTAGTTATTTCCCTTCTATCCAAAACAGGACAAGAGTAGACTTATTTAATTTTTATTTCCACGTCTCTTTTTCATAGCAAGGGAGAGATAATATCTTTTAATTCCACTCCCTTAATCTCCTGCTGTCCCTGGATCTTCCTTGTGTCTTAAGATCAGCCCTCACAGCAGCATAGAAACAGTAGCGGCATCCAGAGGGTAGAGTGTAAGGAGATGGAGAGTTGAGGGCTCACCCTTTGGAAATCCTCCCATTTAGGCAGAGGAGGGATCATAGGAAAAGTAAGAATTCAAAGCCATTTGGCCAAAGCAAAGATCAACCAGCCCAGTGTGTCTATTTTTTTTTTTTTTAAGATTTTATTTATTTGAGAGAGAGAGAGTGAGAGAGACAGAAAGCACAAGAGGGGGGGGGAGGGTCAGAGGGAGAAGCAGACTCCCTGCTGAACAAGGAGCCCGATGCAGGACTCAATCCTGGGACCCAGGATCATGACCTGAGCCAAAGGTAGAAGCCTAACCAACTGAGCCACCCAGATGCCGCCTAGTGTGTCTATTTTAACTAATCAACAAACACTGAACTAAAACACTGGGGCCCCACCAGGCATTCAGAATTCTAATTTTAAAAATATATATATAATATAAAAAGTGAACATACAGTCTTTTAAGTTGATTTTATGGGAAGTATCTATCATATTCTTCCGTTGCACCACTGTTAGAGGCACAATACATGGATGGGACCTTGGTTTGACTCCATATATAATTTCTGACATTCTAATGCCTATTTTTTAATCACTTGATCATCTCATGAGTGGTCCTGAGGAGATAAATGAATATTGCAAATATGCAAGTTACTTTGCTTTCCCTGAGTGATCGTAAGTAGGTATGTGTAACCGGTTTAATCCTTGATTACTTCTCTGCTCTGTGTAGGAGCAGATTTCTGACATTCACTTTGAGATGTGCCACTCGATTCTCCTGTTTCGACCAGAGAAACTGTTGCTCATCCAGAGCCTACACAAAGTCATGGGTTCACCACGTTTGGAAAATTAAGTGTT